TGGTTCTCTACTATAATTAACATCTAGTAGGCATGATAAAATGGTTGTTGTTTGTTATTGGGCTAGATATCACACAAATCCAACGGAACCAAACATGACAAAACTGAAGAACTTTTTCAGATATCTACAAAGAACAACATTTTTGGGTTTGTGGTATCCAACTAACATTGGGTTCTTTGTATAGGTTTATTCAGATGCAAATCTTGGAGGATGCGGTCTTGAAGGAAAGAGTATGATTGGGGGCTGGTAATTCTTGGATGGGAAATTAGTAAGTTGGTAATCAAAGAAGCAAACGTTTGTTTGCATATCTACTGTTGAAGCTAAATACATTGCAACAATGTCTTTTAAATCTCAAATAATTTGGATTCAAATTCAATTAAGTCATTATGTTCTAAATATGAAAAACATTCCTTTGTATTCTGATTTTGAGAGTCCAATTCTCATTTTTCATAATCATGTTTAACATTCCAAAATCAAGCACATTGCATTAAGATATCATTTTATCAGAGATTGTGTTGAATTTGGGAATATTGAAGTGCATTTTGTTAGATGTGCAGATCAATTAACAGATATTTTCACTGAAGCGTTACCTGAAGTATCTGTTAATCGTATATTTCGAGTATTGGGTATGATGGAGGCTGAAGTTGTTCCACATTCTATAAACAAATAAGGATGCGAAAAGTTAGTGTTCAATTGAGACTGACTGCGAAAAATCAAAATTGATCGCAACCGTATTATACTATTAGTGGTTATTGTTCAATTAAGACTAACTTGATCGATTGGATTGATTCATAACAGGTAAAAAAATTTGTTGCTATATCTTTTTTGTAATTAAAATGCGACTGGCTGCGATCGATCGCAACAAGTCGTAGTCTATTTTTTCTCTCTTTTCTAAAATTTTCAAAAATCCAAAAATATTTTCTCTTTTAGAAAATTTTCAAAAATCCAAAAATATTTTCTCTTTTAGAAAATTTTCAAAAATCCAAAAATATTTTCTCTTTTATAATATTTTCAAATATCCAAAAATATTTTATCTTTTATAAAAATTTGAAAAATCCAAAAATATTATGTATTTTTTTAATTATTTTTTTATGAACACTTGTTGATTTTTCATGCCAAATTGGAATTCTTGGGGATCAAGTATTTTCCTTTTCTGAATTGACTAGTTAAGTATCCCTAGATGCATGTTGCAGCATGTTGTCCAACGCCTCATTTGATTCTTCGTTTATGAAGCCTTAATGAAATCTCTTATTAGGCTATATTACCAAAAGTCATCGGGCTACCTTTCTCTTCTCATTTTGGAGTTTAGAGATGTATGATTGGTTCATATTTCATTGTAGAGGTATTGCGATTCTTTAACCAATGTTGGAAACCAATGGACTCTTGGGTATACACAAACCTAAACATAGGTTTCCTTTTTAAACCAAGCATGGTATTTGTTTAACCCTTGACATTCTAAGCCTCTACCAACTTGGAATTATGGTCAATCAAAAATAGTTTTTATGATCAATTTCATTGTCACCATGAGATTGTGAGAAACTAGTTTTTCAATCTTCTTATCTCATTTTTCTTAAACTATGCACACATAATGATGCATATCCCAAGACATAATTCTAGTTAATACCAACTAGAATTGAGGTGTACCAACATTTTTTGTTTATGAACTTATCATCATTGTCACCATGATGAAAGTGAGACTCACTAAACAATACATTTTAAGGAATTGAATGTGAACAATTTATTATTCTAGTTTAACTCATAAATTGACGGAACTTCCTAATGTTCAAAATCTCACAACTTTTCATGTTATGAAACCTTAATGAAATTGGTTGATCCCAAATTATTTATACTTAAATATGTTCAACTTTTTTTCTTATTATGAGATTTTCGTTTGAACATTCTTTTCTATCTTGTCACTTAGATATCAATCAAAAGCCAATGATTACATGAATTTAATTACACCGGTCAATTAATTGTTTTCTTTTGTATCATTGCACTTATTTTAAGTTTCAAATATGATTGGAAACAATCCTTCCCATTTGGAGTTATAAAAAGAAACCCTTCGTAACTTCTTAATAAGTTGACGATTTTATTTCAATTGGAAACCATGCAAGCACTTCTTACTCTCTCTTGACTTTGAAGGGAGAGAATATTTTCCCGTGATTATATTACTTCGATGTCAAATAAATTTGATATCATAAGAATTCCAAAAAATAAAATAAATTTTATTCTCTCTTATTCTTTGGAACACATTTGCACTAGAATCCTTGAGGTTGTGAATAAACAACTTATGCCAAGATTGTAACAAATCAAGTTAATGATTCTAATCATTCTTCGCATGATTTGATGAAACTCTTCTTTAGCCAAGTTACATTTGGAAATTCTATAACATTGTCATAATTCCAATGGATACTATTTTAATTTTTAGAAAATTGAATGGTTTATCAAACTGTTGCAAGCTGAAATGGCATGTTTCTTTTATTACGAATGGTTACGATCAATCGGAGTGGATTGCAATGGATAGTAATGGATCATGTTGAATCGTAATTGGTTCAATGTGGAACTATGTTCAGAGTGATTCTTATGTGTCCGTGACAAGGTTTATGAACTGACGTCTTCTTATTGGACCTAAAATATATGATGTTGGTTGTGGTATTCAAGACTGACATGGGATGAGACGTGTTGGTGGTTCATCTTTCCTTCTTTACTGGTCATTTCAAAATTAAAATTGATGCTTGTGTTTCTCTTATTTTCTTAATCAATAGTGTGTTTTTCTAAATATCTAATGGAGTCATATGTTGATCATATCTCTTTCATGGATCAATCTACGTTATCAACACATTCAGTGGTGAAGGCTAATCGGAATTTGATTTTGAATGTTGATGAATCAAAGTATCTCACCGCTTTTCAACCAATGATCATGTGTTTGAAGCATTCAACCATAAGAAAATGCCTACATCCTATTTTGAGGTTCCTTTATCTGCTCTCATTCTTTCTTATAGTTCTGCAAATTACAATGTTATGCTCGGTGTTATGAACTTTGAAGTTCAAGGCCATAAGATGGAAATCTCTAAATCAGCATTTTGCAAGTTACCGAGGTTACATATTGCGAAAGATTATACAATTTTGTTTCAACATCTTTCTTAGAAGATTATTTGGTTCTGACAATACGAAAAAATTGTTTCATACTTTGCTTTATGTATTGTATTTTGGAGAGAAAATTAACTTAGTTCAAATTCTATGGGCTCAAATTACTCAAAGTATTTCTTCTTCAACAAAGAATACCGAAATTTCTTGTGTAGGATTTTGGTCGATACTGGTAAGGAATACTCGTGATCACTTTAAGGTTTCTATAATGGCTGATTTTCGGATGGTCAATTTTGTTGTGTTAAATACTACCACTTTTGCTTCTTTTAATGCGAAAGTTTTTCATAATATCGGATAAATTCCATAAGTGATGCTCAAGGGCGTTCCAGCAGAGAATGAAGTTGTTTTGCTATATAGTAAAATTCCCAAACCTAGCTAGAGATCTATGTCTACTTCAATGCAAGATGCTTTGGAATCCACAGGGGAAATTTGCTGAGGAATTTTATCTGAAAAACCTTCTAAGAGATATCCAAAGAGAAAAAAGAGTCAGGTGTCTGTTATTGATGAGGATGATGAGGTTACACTTAGTGATAATCGGAACGATGACACTATGGTGATTGAAGGTACATTCTTGTCGTCATATGTACATACTCAGTTGATTACTTATGTTCTGATTACGTATTTGATTCCTATTCAAACTGAAGGTCTGATTCTTTTCTAAACAGATAAGGAGGTCTATCACAACATTATGACATAACCCATTCTTAATCTTTCTCAATTAATCTCTATCACCAACGGTTCGACGTCTCATTCATCTAACCACTACTACACCAATTCCAACAATAACATTCATTTCATCTACCACTATTCAAAATCAAATAGTTGTTCAACCTCTACCAGTCTCATCTGTTGCAACTTTAACTCCATTACCTCCACCAATTTTCAATAAGTCTACTACCACAACTACGAAACCATTTGTAATTCAGAATGACGAGCATGTTTATGAAGATAATGGTGAATTTAATGTTCCTGATGATGATGACGTTCAAGAAATTGGATCTTTTCAAACTTTTGTTGAACTAGTTATTGTTGCTTCTTTGCATGATGGTTAAAGTGATCTCGATGAAGATTTTGTTGTTGCTCATGCTACCAAGAAATATTATCAAATGATGACTCGTAAGCTTAATGCTTTGGTTCGTAGGGTTGATTCTTTCAGCTACAAATTTCCAAAATTTGATGATTACTCATGAGAATACTTTGAAGACGATTCTTGATGAAAGCAGAAGATTATTTGATAATCAAGATAAATTGATAAATGAAGCTTCTCTCAAATTTCAAACTAATATTAAGACTTCCCAAAATTCTTTATCTAAAGTTGATCAAGTTCTCAATGAAGTGAAGGAAATTAAAACTTTTATTCTTGCTGCTAACACTAAACATCATAAATGTGTTATTAATTCAAGTAATACTCTTGTTAAATTGTATGATATTGAGGCAAAGTTGGCTGACAAATTGGCTGATAAGGAACTTAAAATCAAATACTTGCAAGTAGAATTGGCTCAAACAAAGAATGAGTTTGAGAAGGTAGAAAATAGATGCTCTTGAAAAAAGGAACAAATATTCAAATAAATCAAAGGCTTGTTCGGATTGTGGAAAATAAGGATACTCCTTATGTTGATTATCTTTCATAGTTATTGGATGTGAAATTGGCTCCAATTCTTTCTCAAATCAAACATGGTGTTACAAGTAGCAGTGCTCCTTCGCAACAAGGTGGATAAGAGATTGAAAATGTTGTTTTGAAAAACCCAAGTGTGAATGTTCAAAAGGAACCAATTATTATCAAAAGTCCATATGTTGTTCGGAAATTAATCAATGGAGCTAATGCACCAAAGATTCAAATTGGTCACAGATCAATGAAGAGACAACCGGATGATAGCACATTTAATGCATATAAGTTTTGTGAAGATGGTGTGGCATATAGTTGTTTTCTTATTGTTGTTCCAAAAGAAGTGGGTCCAAAAGAAGTTGAAGTTGTGAAGGAAGAACAAAAGAAAAAGGATGAAGAATTGGAAAGATTGAAGTTATATCAAGATGAGTTTAACCGCATTGAAGGCAAAAAGAGAGATAAAGAAGCAATAGAGGCTACTCTAAGAATTTTGTGGCTTGAGTGGACGATGAAAAGAATGCAAGATGTTGCAATCAAGAAGGTTAGGAAGAACTGGCTTGAACCAAACTCACTGTATTTGGTTGACCTTCCTCTCTCCGAATCTATTGCAAACAAGATGTTGCAAATAAGAAGGTTGGGAAGAACACATCAGAAAGTCAATTAAACTTACGAATGTGTGGAAGAGCCTTTTAGTTTAGAAGTTTTAATCATATGGCTGAACTTCCTCTATCCAAATCTATTGCAAACAAGAAACTTATCATGTTTTATCTCGAAAATTCTCAACCTCAGTATGAAGTTTTGTCTTTGAAGCGAATCATGACTGTTAAGAAGATTGAAGAAGCTAAGACTGGTGAATTTACAAATTACATGTTCACAATATTAAAGGATGAAAATAAAAATTGTTTTTTGATTACTTTTGTTGATTTGTCATTCATGATTCCATGATTAGATTGTGATTTATGGATTGCTGAAGAAACATTAATCAAAATTTGGTTCACAGCTTTTACATGTTACTCCCATGATTAGAAATTACTACATGGAGGTGAGCAAAATGGATGTTGAAGTTTCCAAAAGTATGAAGATAAATGCTATTTTTGTGAAACCTCAAGATCATATAGAAGGATTGGAATAGAAGAGAGGACTTATCCAAAAGGAACCTTGGGGTATTGTCTATAAAGTGCTCGAAGAAGGAAAATTTTAGAATAAGATGTTGTACTTAGATGACAAACATAGTTACAATTTTGATTGCTTAAGTAGTGTTCTTTCAAGAGCATATATTTGCAAGGAGAATATGAAAAAAAAAATACGTGAAGTGGGTTTCTAAGGTAATTAGATGGTGGGTCCAAGTTAGACTTGTTCTCATGGAAATTGCAGAAGAAGTTTTCAGAGAACAAAATTGAAGAATCATTTCGCAAGTCAATAAAAGGGGGAGATTGTTAGTATCATATTTTTGTACTTGAGTTTTGTAATGTGAAATAGGTTTGAAAATGATAGTATGTTTAGTAATGATACGATCATGATTGTAGTCATTTACTTAGGTCACAGTTGTTAGTTGGTTATTTTGACAACTGTTGTTTTGCCTAGGTGTCCTGACCTGATTGGTCAGAGCTTAACCGTTTCCCTTGTATGCCATATATAAGGAGAGCATGTTGATAGTAGAGGACATCTTTTAATGGAGTGTTACAATCTTGTAATCACATTCCTTTATCTTCTAATAAAAAACCAGATCTTATTTACTCTTTTGTGTTCTTATTGATTACATCTTGTTACATAATTTCATTCTTATTCAATCTAACGACCCAACAAAAGGATCATAGTTAATCGCATGAGTATGAGAAAATCCTATTATAACATGCCTTGCTTAAATGTGTATACAGGTCCATGTAATACATTCTTTCTAAAAAAAATTACTTGCTCCTTATAGACTTGTTATAAGAAGGAAGTTTAAACAAGACCATACTTGATTATTATACATGGATTACATCTCAGGTTCATGACATTCAGTTAGTTATCAGATTCGGGATCTGATTTAACAATTTGGTAGTTGATGGATTTGCTAGAAACCATCAAGATGAAAGATTCCACATTTCTCAAGTCTGAGATGATTTCTACCATTAATGCGAACAATTAGTGCTTTTGAATAGCTATTATTCAAGATTAACAATCCATTTTTAAAACTAGTGCCAATTGTTACTACTTCATGCTATGGTTCTTGAGATACTTCAAGTTCCATGTGTCTCCTAATTTCTTTGTCATTAGAAGCTTGTTTTCTGATAACTTAGCTTTCAAAAAAATAAGAGAACTTATTCGTGGAAAGTTTGCATATAATAATCTAAGAGACCTTTAGAGTATTATACAAATAAGTATTTAGTAGATTTTTGGTTTAGAATGTAGCACCCAGTTCCTGGTATGTATTTCATTCAAGTACTTTTCGCAATTTGGACTGAGACTCGGCGCGTTGATGGCCCAACTTGTCGAGTAATTGTGGTTTGGACCCGAGGGTTAAGTGGCTGACTCGTCGAGTCGGCGGTAAGACTTGAAGAGTAGACTCTGGTTGGACAAAACCGTAATCTGAGGGTTTGCACCCTATTTAAACGACCTTATACAGCCTCCATCGCCCCTTTATGCTCCTAGAACACTCCATACAGAACCGTAGTCATTTTGTGAATATCTAAAGGCTTTTCGGTGATTATTGGCGGTTTGTGGTGGCAAGAAGGAAGGAAAATCATGATGAACCAAGAGGTTGGCCAGAGGAGTCAAGATTATGCATCATCTATAGTTCTTGGAAGGTATAAAGTCGACCCCTTGCTTCTTCTTGCATTAGATCCCTTTTTGGGGAGATCTAGGGCTTTTATAAGCCATTCTTGGTAACCACCCATGATTACATGCATGGATGGGGGTTGAGGCTTCATTTTAGCTTAAAGTCCAATGCATGCACGTAAAGTTCATAACTTTACATGCTAGATCGATCTTAGGAGCCTAGATCTATCATTTGGGCAAGTGTTGTACATCAGAAATCGGGAAATGAGACTTGGACAACTTCGACTCGGCGAGTCCGAGGCTTGACTCCCCTTTTCTATTAGGGTTCAAAGGAACCCAGTTGAGTGTTAGAAAGGTTTTAGAGGTTCCAAGGGAGTGACACAATATTTTGGACTTAGCCATAGACCTGGAGTTCATAGGACTCGACGAGTACATGAGCAGACTCGGCGAGTCCAAGGCCATCTCCCAGCAAATGAAGATGAACTCGACGATTTGTTCATACAACTCGGTCAGTCAAGGTCAGGACTTGTTCAATAGTTGAAGGTGAACCCAGCGAGTTGTTCATACAACTCAACAAGTCGGATGAAAGATCATTTGAGGATCGTAAAGAAGGAGAACTCGTCGAGTCATTACTAAACTCGACGAGTAGAAGCGTGAATGATGGCAATTGAAAGGATAGGGACTTGACGAGTTGGCAGCACCACTCGGCGAGTCAGATCAACTGAAAGATGACTTTGACTTTAACATGGTTAGGGGTAAAATAGTCATTTTCCTTAAGAGTAGTTATCAGTGTCTGATTAAGTGTTTTATGGATTTATAGCCGGAGGATCACCGGAGCAACAGTCAGACATCTGCCGATCAGCTTTTCACCAGTCAGCCTTACGAGGTGAGTTACCTTCTTCCAGTAGTGGTGGGTCTAAGGCACCAAGACCGACTCACCAGTAGGAGTCGTATGTTAGATGATTGTCTTTGTGATATTCATCTAGGTTTGCTACTACTTGATATGTTATGTGCTAGTATGAGATGATGTTATATGCTAGTAGCAGTAGGGGAGACAGTCCCTAATATTTTCGGTCGATAGGGCCAAAGGGGGTAGTCATACCCAGTCATACTAGATAGAATACAATTATGTGTTACTTATTATGTGGTAGTAGTAAAGGGGTGAAATAGTCCCCAGTATCCGGTCGAGAGGACCGAAGGGGAGGCCAACACCCATATATGCTAGGCAGTATCCAATCGAGAGAACCGAAGGGGAGGCCAGCACCCAGATATGCTAAGCAGTATCTGGTCAAGAGGACCAAAGGTGAGGCCACCACCCAAATATGCTAGGCAATATCCGGTCGAGAGGACCGAAGGGGTAGGTCAGACACCCAGATATGCCTGACAGTATATGCATGTTATATGATTATATGGTATGTGGTACGTTGGGGGAACTCACTAAGCTTCGTACTTACAGTTTTTAGTTTTGTTGCAGGTACCTCTTCAGCGAGGGGGAAGGAGTTGGCGCGGTAGCTGCACATCATACACACACACGTTAGATTTCCGCATTATGAGATTCTTGGGATTGTACTCTGACATTATTACATTTATGATTTAGTTTCAGACATGAGATATTAGTTTTATGAAATGATATGTCTTCGCTATGTTTTCTGATGGAAGTTTTATAACTCAATTAAATAAAATAAGAAATGAAAATGAAATTTTTGGACTCGAAAATTGGGATGTTACATAGAATCTTTAGTCCAACATAGGATTCAAATCCACAAAATATTAAATAAATTATGGATAGATACTTTCCATAAAAACCCTTATAAAAATGTTTTATCTACTTATTAGTTGTTGCTTGTATTCGAAGTATAATTGATAGTGATTAAAATATAATCCCAAAAGAATAAAGGAGGATAATTACCACCAATTACAAAGTAAATCATATCAAGTAATATTGAATTCATCCCTTATTACTATTAAGGTTTTAGATGGTATCACTGGTTTGTATCTCAATTTTATATTTGAAAACTTCAACAAATGCTTCATAATTATCTCTTAACATGTAAAATATAATTATAACTATTATAGTTGTTATTAAGGTTGATTTGGTATCATGTGCTTAACCTTAGACATTAATTAGAAAGGAAGTCATACATCACAATGTATAGTTCCTTAATAATTATTTTCTTTACAGTTTAGTGAAAATATCATTAGTAATCTTTTATATATAAACAAGGTTCATATATGTCAAATAAACTACACTATTTGCCTCAAATATCCCTTTCTTGAAATTAGAATATCTGAATGTCATTTATATAATAAAGATAATAATGTCAAAGATAAGTTTGATTCAAAACAAGTTTAAGTAAAAAGTACTTTGCATATATAACTTGTTATTTATAACATATTGATATTAACTTTATAATTCTTGTTAAGGGATCTAGACTCATAAATCAATTTTTAATCATTTACGAATATGAAGGTGATCGTTATGAAAAATGATTTAAGTAAAAAATCAATATTCATAAATTAAGTGGGACGTATATTTAGACAAGCTAAATTAAAAACATATATTGTTCCAAAACAAACATTGTTTTACAATGTAAGTACATTATGTTCCTAGCGTAATCAATAAACTAAACTCAGAGAGGGAAGTTCCAACTTGCTTGTGATCAGCTGGTTACTCTTCTGTAAATATATGCAAGCCATTTACAAATATTAGATTAAGATTAAGTACTAAGTACTTTAGTTTCATATGAAAAGTATGAGTTATATCTAGTAGATACATGAAGCAATAGTCTCTTCCAAACTTTTTTCCTAGATAAGGGGAACAATTTCTCTTCTCGTGTCTAGTTTCTCCATGTGGGCATTCTTGGATTTCCTAAGCTTAAAGGTGTTCAGTCCATGAAATATGGG